TTTTTTGTATTTATACTTTGAGCATGTCTCGGGGCCACAGCCTTTTTAGTCTTTTGGGAGCGTGTGTTGCAGAGGATTTGGTATAATGGGATTTGGCCAAATCGTTAAGGGTAGGAAGATTTAAATCTTTGTGGAGATTTTTATTTGTTACGTACCAGCGGGGGCGGAGGTTATTAGGTGTAAGCATATTGATTGAAAAGCTTGTAGAGTTCTGGAGTTGGAACTTTGGAAGGCTTTGAAGACCCACATAGCTGAATGCCATAGAGCCACACCGGGCGGATTATCGCTTTATATATTGTCACCTTGTTTGTTAGGGATATTTTAGATTTTAAAAGGGGTCTAAGAAGGTGCAGCCTGGAGTTAACTTGTTCCGCTTTAGTTTTAGGTGTGGATCCCACGTAAGACGTTTGTCAAATGTGAGCCCTAAGTACTTAAATTCGTTTGCTGAAGGAAGGACTTTGTTGTTGAGTGTAACTGGAGGGCAGTCAAAGTTTCGTAAAGTGAATGTTACGTGAATTGATTTGGTTTCACTTATTTTTATTTTCCAACGATTTGCCCATAAGTTAATCATTTTTTATATACCTATATAATAATGTTACAGTTGATCTTTCAACTACATTATGTTATATTTTGTTAAAGAATATTTAAAATCGTTAATAATCAATATTCTAAAGTTATAGGTGATTGTAATGATAAAAGATAAAATAATAATTAGGCGCAGAAATTCTAAAGTCTATTTAAACTTGGTAGTTTATTATTTAATACCACATTTTTCAAATATTATATTATTTATATTCCACTTCTTCCATTGCAAAATTTTGCCTTAAGATATGACCTTAATTTTGAGTTTGAAGGAAAAGAATTCATTATAAATGTTTTCACTTTGTAATTTTGGTAAACATCAATTATTATAATGTTCTCAGTAATAAAATGTTTCAGCTGCATATTTTTTAATTCGTATGATATAATATTTCTTATAAAGAATTTCATCCCAAAGGTTTTCAAATTGTTTTTTGAAAATTAATTTTCTGTATAAGTTACGTGAAATTCGAATGCTTACCAAGTCAGGTTACAAACAATATAATTTTACAAGTTGTAATACAAAAACACTGTTGTTCAGTTGTTCTAACATAATTAGATTGGTAATACATTTGTCAGGAATCTGAAATTTTGGCGCTTTTGTACGATACGATTTATTTTTTACTTACCTAACCTATCTCGTTTTTCGGCTTTGCGCTTATGTCTTCCACCGGTAACCACCTTAGACTTATGTCCTAAGTAGATAATTGTTTTCATACAGTGGAGCTATTCATATAGTATATGTATTTACTATCCCATTAATTATAAAAACTAATTATTATCATGAATATTATGATTAATTGATAAATATATTATTTATAATCAATGTCTAAACTCTTATTGAATCAATTCATAAATGGTTCTATGTTATGTATTATGTTTTGTTATACTATTTTTACTCGCCAAAACTGCGGAATATTGWATTTTTACCTTTATGGCTTTATGACGAGTTATACGAGTTTACGACGTGACGTCGGACGTACTCATTTAGTTCAGAAATCAGAGTTCAAACCAGTTGGTGATATTTCTTACGATAAATTTAATGCTGACGATAGATGAAAACATGAAGGTAGGAATATCAATTAAAAAAACAAATTATTTGGTTAATTATTTTTTTATATACCTACTTTGAATAGTGAATAATGATTGTTATTATCATTATTAAAAAATTATATTTATTTATTTATTAATTATTACAAAAACAAGTTTTCAAAAAATGAATATTCTCATTTAAGTTTTAATTAAAAACTAAAACCGTAAATATTATATCAGTTAACTTCAATTTTTTTTCTATAAATGCCAAGAAACTTAAAAATTTAATTCATAAGTTCTTATATGTAGGATTTAAAAAAAATTTTAAGAGTAAATCCATAATAATCTTTAATTATATAAATATATATAAATTTAGATGAAATTAGAAATTTAAACGAAGAATAACGATTTTAGTTATTTTTTTTTTACCTAATTTAAAAATATTCGTGGGACTTACAACATTCATACATCATACATACTAATATTATACTTTACTATACTCAATAACATGTTCAAAATATTAACATGAATGTTAAGCTTGTTTATACCTACCATTAACACCATAATATGTCCGTATCATTTGCAAGGTACAAATAGTAAAATAAATTATTATAGTAGCAGAGATTATATTATCTATGGTATATAGACATAATATTCATAATAATCTAATTATGTTGATAACAATAGTTATAAGTTTATAAGYATTTATTTAGAATATCTTAATATTATTAGGATAATATTATGGTAAAATTAATTGAACTGCATTTAACCAATTAAATATCTGTATGTATAAATATATCGGCTATATTCACCAAAAAGTTGATTGCCTAGAAAATTATTATTTTGCTTTCGTAGGTAGGTTAAAAAACGTTATAAGCTGTATTTTTTATTTTGTGAGATATCCGTATTCCTCGTGGAATTAAAATAAACTTGTTTACTCCCCTAGCGCCCTTGTTACATATTATTATTTTAAATGATTTAATGTGGAAATAAGATGTTCACCTTCATTTAAAAAACTAAATGTTAAAGGTAATTTATTGAAAATATGAATTGTTATGTAACCAATTTTAATCGATGTATAATATATTATATATTATATATATTATATTTGTGTGTATATAATAGGAATATTGTACAGTCAATAAATTGTAAATAGAATAAATTCAGAAATCATTAATATTTATTTTAATATAAATAATTCACACGAATTATAACATTATTATTTATTACTTTGTACCTATTTTTTAATACTGCCGTAGTGCAATTTTACGATATTTATATCTATTGCTTTTTGTAGTTGTAAAAATATAGTTCTACTTTTGAGATATTATATACTGGACTATTATAAAATAAACAATAAATTTTAATTATGTCACTATAATTTACATACTACCTATACCTAATATTTTATTGGTATAGTAAATTGTATACCTACTTAAATAACATTATTTAAGGACGACTAGAGTTCTGTAACATTAAAAAGCCATGATTAGATTGGCTAATTCATTTTGGGTTCATAAACTGAAACAAAATATATTAACTAAATTAATATACGTTTGAATGTTTAAAATTATACTCCATAAGATCATAAAACATTTTTATTGTTATTTAAAATTTACCTACTCTGTACCAATGAAATCATATCAAAACCTTGTGTCTTAAAAATCACAATATAAATGTAGAAACACTCGAAAAAATACCCAAACGTACTCAATTACTTATAAGTTATAACTGCAGATACCCATTTAAGAAACTATAAATACATATGATGTTTAAATGAAAATAATAATTATGCTAACTGCTAACCAACTATTAATGTACAATTTAGTTTTGCGGAAAATACTGTATCATATTAATTTGAAGTTATAGGTATATATTATACTGTAATATTTATATTAAATATTTTATATTCTATTTACACTTTTGAATTGTGCTTGAGTCGTATTTTTAGGTAATGAGTTAGGGCCAAGCACTAAGGTAAACTAACCTACCTATTTAGGTAGGTAGGTACTATAGTTCAACTAAAAAATAAATTTCATTTTGCTAATCAATAAATATTTTAAAATCAAAGTATAGTAAAAAGTATTTTAATAATAATACAAACATAGAAGATATTATATGATATGACACATGACTTAAACTTTGAATGTCTACTACCTAAGAAGAATTATTTAGTTTGATAATTTTTAGCAGGAAATAAATTCAACTCAATGTATATTTTAATAATAATTTAATTTGTTTATTTATTTTGTTTCATATAAATAATATTTAATAAATTAATAAAAACTCTAGGTTTTTCAAATAAATAATTGCACGTCATCAATTAGGTATTGAGACGTGCACATTAGTCGTTGTTTTATAAAAAATAACAACAAGTCTCCAGAAAGTTTGCGCTTTATGTGAGCATCTCTTTAGCGTCGATCACTTTAGACATTTTTGTAGAGCTACTCGAGCGCTTACTGACGGAAACAGACATCAAACTTAAAAAACAACATTTTTTGTTAGGAAACATCTACCGTCAAGATCAGACCAAACTGATTACAAAAGGAATATGTCTGAGTATGCGGTCTTTTGAAATACTTTGTTGACGATATCTTGCGAGATAGCTCCAATCGCTTCTTCGAAAGCTGGTTTCAATTCTTCAAGAAGAACTTCCCAGTTTTGGTTCAGGATGGAGTTCATGCTATCGCCTATTGTACAAACAAAAAAAAAAAACGGATTTAGTACGGAAAATAAAATATTAGAATAGTATAATACACTCCTCAATCATATTTTGTTAATACAATAGTGTATGACAAAAATTATTGAGTATAGAATGATAAACTTGAAGTATGAAATACATACCTAATTGTTTGTTTCCATTGAAAAGGTTCTCCAAATTGACTTTCAGATTTTTGACGCTAGCCACCTTCAGGTTGACTTTCTTGATTTGGACGAAGGTTTTACCGTTCTTCTCGAATGGAGTACCGGACATTTCTTCCAATTCCAAAACGGGTTCGTCTGCGGAAAACAATGATATCGTAAATAAAAATATAACATAACATACATACGAATATGCAAAAATATAAACGCAGGATATGGAAAGTATTTTAATGGTAAGTTGAAAACTTACTTAAGACAATGGAACACGGTCCGTTACCGGTGATCGGCAAAACGAGCACCTTGCCGTTGACCGTGTATTGTCCAGTGATCTCGAGTGGTTTTGTGAAGCTAATCTTGCCGCTTGCCTTGAAGTTTTCCACGTCGACTTTCAAGGAGTCGATCACTGTGCTGGTCAAGCCCATGATTTTGACGTCCTTCAACTTCAAGTCAATACTGACAGCTTTGCTGGATCCCTTGCCGTGTTCGATTTCCAATGACGGCAGCTCGAACGGTTCGATGGCTGGAATTCTAAGTTTCGGGTATCCTTCGGCCAAATCCGGAATGACTGATTGGATGGAGGTCTTCAAACATTTGTCAAGGTTTGGATCACTTTTCTTGCATAAATTGAAAGATATTTCTGTAAAGAAATATTTATAAGAATATTAGAAACATACAATTTTAATATTATAATATTATAATATTATAATATTATAATAAAATAATATCAATAGTCAACTATCGTACTAAGTCGATTTCGGTATACTTAAACTAACATTGAATTTGAAAAATTTAAAAAATTTTTAAATTTTTTGGTTAAATATATCTATACAAAATAAACAC